CAGACAGTCCGGATGGTTCCAGTGTAAGGCTGGCAGGGACACGACAAGGATTCTAATCCTGATGCTCCTCCAGCAACCACTGCTGTTCTTCCTTGCCTGCGTGAGGGAGATAAGCATCTGGAACCTTCTGGGGGCAGAGGACACTGCTCACAGGACAGTGCAGGGGCAGCCAGTCGGACTGCTCCAAGTGCAAAACAGGTGACCGTTCTACCAGAAAGCCTGGGAGATGTCGGAGAGCTGAGCTCACAGGCTCATGAATGACCAAGAACTGGGTGGGGGGAGGGGCTGGGGGACGGTCCTCAGCTCTCTGCTCAGCCACACAAGCCCCATCGGGCCCCAAGTCTCCACACCCCACTTCAGTCAAGCCAGTAGGCAGCTTGCCATCTCCCATTTTTATTGAAATACAAAAACTGTAAACGGTGAAATACATGATTGGTGCGAGGAAGTCATGGAGTAGTGCAGACACTCTGCCTCGGGCCTGTGTGGCAAGCGCAGGAGACCAGAAGCCCGTGAGGCTCCCCAACAAGGGGCCAGGAGCGAAGCTCACTGCACAAAGGAGGTGGGAAGCAGAGTCCAGGGGCAGGGCTGGCTCCAGAGGCCAATAGCACTTCCCAGGCCTCAGGAGGCACCCAGCCAGCGCCCAGACCCCCCTGGCTGGCAGATAGGGCCAGGCTGCTCAAGACAGCCTCCCATGGGACAGGCTCTGGGCAGGATTGGGGGCAGGGCAACTGTGCAGATATCAGGGACAGTGTCCTCAGAGTGGGCCAGAGAGGAATATATTACTGAGGATCACCGCTGGAATGCAGGAGATTAATCATGATGGGAGTCCAGGGTTTATGACCAATAGTAGGGTCCAGGGCCCCCATGAAGAACTACCCCAGTCCCCCAGGCACTAAGTCACCTCTGTTCAGAGCAAGGGCAAGTCTGACTCCATAGACGTGACCACAGCTTACAGGTGAGGACCCATCCAAGTGCGAAGGGAGCTTGTCACTGACGGCCAGAAGCATCCCGTGGAGGGAGAGAGACAGAGAGAGAGAGTGTGTGTGTGTGTAATGGAGAGAGAGAGAGAGTGTGTGTGTGTGTGTAATGGAGAGAGAGAGTGTGTGTGTGTGTGTAATGGAGAGAGTGTGTGTGTGTGTGTAATGGAGAGAGAGTGTGTGTGTGTAATGGAGAGAGTGTGTGTGTGTGTGTGTGTGTGTGTAATGGAGAGAGTGTGTGTGTGTAATGGAGAGAGAGAGTGTGTATGTGTGTGTAATGGAGAGAGAGTGTGTGTGTGTGTAATGGAGAGAGAGAGAGTGTGTGTGTGTGTAATGGAGAGAGAAAGAGAGTGTGTCTGTGTGTGTGTGTGTAATGGAAGCCAGGGTGGCCTTTTCGCACATGCTGCCAGTCCTGGCAGAACCAGGGGGGTTTTGGGAACCCCTGGGGCACTACCCCTTGAAGAAAGTTGGCTGAGCACAGGTGGAAGCAGGCAGGAAGTGGGATCTGACTCCAGGCCAGGCCCTCCCTGGCACTGCGGACCTCCAGGGCTGAACCTGCAAGGCGAGGGGTCATGAGTAGGGTGCTTGCTCCCCAGACTCTGGATGGGGGACTTGTGGACTTGGGCAGAGTGAGGAGCCAGAGCCAGGTGCCTTGCAGGCCAGAGCTATCTGGAAGGCAGGGACTGGTCACCCACCATCGGCAGGACAGAGCGGCAAAGGGGCTGCTGGGGCTGGTTCTCGGCCCGGTTCGGGACCGCTCCTCCAAGGCAGTGACAGGAATAAGGCGGAAGAGGAAAATGTCTGTGGTCCACAACGAGTGGCCTCCAGGGCCATGATGGGGCTGGACGGCGCAGGGAGGAGCCCCACATCAGCGGGCTCCCAGCCCCTTTCTGGCCAGGACCCCCTGCTCCTATTAAGGCTGATGCCAGGAGGAAGAGTCCAAACGGGGGTGTCATAGCCGGGGGCAGGTGGGCGGAGGCGGGGCTCACAGCCCCTTGACGTCGGGGCTGGGGAACAGCTCTCCCTGGTGATCCAGCAGGAATTTGGTGAAGGTGTTAATGGGATTAATGGCCTTGAGGGTGATGGCTGCGTCCTTGGCCCACAGTAGGTTAGGCCCAAAGACCACAGCCAGGTTGGTGTTGGTCATCTTGTTCTGCTCACAGTTGGCAGAAATCTGTGTAGAGAAGGGAGGGGGGTTGCGGCAGGTGGCCCAGGACCCTTTGGGCCACTCGGACCCCAGGGAGCTGCGGGGCAGCAGCCCCTCGGCGGAGGCCTCACCTGCACCAGGAACGCAGTCAGGAAGCGCAGCACCTGGTAGTTCTCCTCAGGCAGCGTCCGGAGGGCCTGCAGCGTCACCTCCACTCGCTGGCTCTCGTCAATGTCTGTGAGGGAACAGGGGCCCGGGTCACAGGGCTGTGTGGGTGGCCAGGCGGGGACCCTCTCGAGCCTGGCTTGGAGACACACCAGCCTTTCCTGCAGATGCTAAGGTCCACAGCCTGCAGGGAGGGTGAGTGTGTGTGAATGGATGGCCAGCCCTGGCCAGAGGAAGGGGAAAAGGGGCACTCACTGAGGAAGCCCACCACGTGGGGGTAGAGGTCAAAGGTGAGCAGGGGCTCCGGAAGCTCCCGGAGAAAGGTCTTGAGGATGACAGCCGGCAGGTGCAGCTCATTGTACTGGTCGAAGTCCACGGGGAGCCCTGTAGGGGAGGGGAGAGGGCACTGCCAGTGGGGAGGGGCTCTCCTACTGGGACACCAGCAACCCACCCAGGACCACGCAGACCCACCGCCTGAGTTCCTCTTCAGCCACCACACATGCCCCGTGCCCCCGCCTCTGTGACGGCTGCAGGTTCAGGTCACTGGGCAGCTAGGTCCCCAGGTACACTTGTCAGCCTTCCCATCGAACCAGGGGCTGGCAACCTACGTGATGAGGGGACAGGCCTGGGCACCCAGGCAGGAACTGGACCTGTTTGATGCCAACTGCCCAGAGACCCAGCAGGGGTGGCATCTGGGAGCCCCGTTTTCAGGGCTGGGGCACAGAGCACCCCCACGGCTGACCCGGCCGCTCAGGCACACTCACCCATGTTGTACTTCTGCTGCACTTCCCGCACAACCTGGGTGCTAGCCGACCTCCGGAAAATCCCCTCGGTGTCCAGAGCTGGGAAGGGCAGGGCAGGGCTCAGTCAGGGTGTCCGGTGCTGCCCCGGGGGACCTGGCTGGGTGGGGGAGGCAGCCACTCACCGTGGGCCTGTAAGTAGGCGATGGTCTCACGCAGCACGAGTGGAATGGGTTCCTGCTCCGGGCTCTTCTCCTGGAGGCTGCGGGAGCAGGGCGGGGCGGTGAGGGGATGCAGCGCCCCCGGGCCCAGGCTGCCCACCTCGCCCATACTCACTGCTGCAATGAGACCCCGAACTGCTGGTTGGGCAGAGGAGGCCGTGGCGGCATGGGCTTGGGGGCTGTTGCCGGGCTCTTCTGGGTGGATTTAAGGAAGTCATCATACCTAGGGAAGCAGACTGGGGGTCAGGGTTCCCTGGACTCTGAAGTCACCATGGCCGGACCCCTCCACGCACCCTCGGGACAATCCATACGTCAGGAAACTGTCTTCAGCGGCACTCTGACCCCGAGAGCCGTTCCCGTAAGGACCACGCTCACTTCCTCTAGTGGCCCCTGTCCCCTGGGCCAGCTGGCGGGCTGGCTGGGCACTCGCCCACTCCCCCCACCCCCACCCCACCCCGGCTCACTTCAGCACTTGACGAGGGATCCCCAGCTGCTCCAGCTTCACATGCTCGCTGAGCTCGCTCAGGTAATTCACGTAGAAGATCTTCCGGCCAAACTTGAAGCTGTCGATGGAGGAGCAGGGGTCAGGGTCGGGTGCCCTCTGCGGCCTCTCGGATGGCGAGCCCTGGGCCGGCCGCTCACCTGATTAGGGGCTTGAAGAGGATGAGCAGGGTCTTGATGAACATGGTGGGGTGCACGATGTACAGGGCCTTGATGTTCTTCTTGTACCTGCGGAGCAGTGTGGACGCTGGGGCAGGGCCCACCTTCCAGAGGAAGGGACAGAGACTCGGGGAGATCAGGTCGCAGAGGGTGTAAGCAGAGGAACTTGGGGCTTAAGCTCACGTTACTCCGACTTCAGACTCAGGGTTTACCCAAGTGGGGACATCACATGGGCAAAGTTCCTGCTGCGTGGAGGGCAGCCCAGAAGCTGCCCGAGCCACGTTCCTGCCACTCCCCACCCCCCCATGGCGCCCAGCCCCGTGCCCTGACCCACTTGCGGTCAAACTCGCGGTAGGCGTCCCGGAGCCAGCTGAGGGAGGGCTTGTTGTCGCTGGTCAGGCCGTGGTGCAGGTAGAGCAGCGTGTAGTCACTCTCCACGTACTGGTCCAGGGTGTGCTTCAGGTACCTGCTCAGAGGGAAGTCCGCTCAGCCGGGGCCTGGGGAGGGAAGGCAGACACCCTCCCAGAGCACAGCCACCCCGGCGGCCGCAGAGTTCTCACTGTGTAGGCTGTGAAGAGGCCCCGAGTGGTGGCCAGGCCGGCCTAAGAACAACTTTGCTTTTTGAGACTAGGAGTCAAGGGACCAGGACTCTAAGCCGGGGCCTCTCCCCTGCTGTTGCCGTTATGTGCCACCAAGGCGGTTCCGACCCATATGCACAACAGACCCAAACACTGCCCGGTCCTGCACCATCCCCACCATGTTCCCGTCCCATCCCCCCGCGCCCCCCCTCCCCCGTGCCCATCCATCTCGTGGCGGGCCTTCCACTTTCACTGCCGCTGCACTTGACCCAACACGCGAGCCTCCGCCAGGGACAGCTCTCTCCCAACAAAGGTTGCAGGGAAAATGGGAAGGGCGTTTCCCCGCAGAGGGCGGCCCTGAGGCGTCAGTGTTGATGCTTCACGCACCCAACCCTCCTCCGACCATGAGAGGGATGCTCCCGCACTGGACAAGTGAGAACCCACGCGGCTCAGAGGCCACACGGTGTGTGGAGGGCTCTGGAGGTGAGCCTTGGCAACCCGAAGTAATCACCGCACTGTGGGTGGGGGCTCTGCTTTGCTGCTCAGTCATGGGGCTGCCTTACCCCTCCCATCTCACAACGGGGTACCCACAGTACCACACATCACACCGTACCCCAAGGCCCCCAGCCGGAGGGGAGAAGTATGGATAGAATACACCGAATTTCAGAAAGGGAGGGGAGTCCAGTGTGAAGCCAGTTTCCGGGGAGTGGTTGCCAGGCAGCTCAGAGACTCTGCAGAGCCCCACCCAGCCTGGGACAGGCAGGAATGCCAAGGACCTTGGGGGCGGGGGGGGGGGGGGGGGGGGGGGGGGGGGGGGGGGGGGGGGGGCCTCACCCAGGAAAACACAGGAGCATTGGACCGGGTGCCCAGCTACAACCAGACTTAAGCTGAGGCCTGGGCAGGGGCCAGTGCTGGGTTAGCACCATTGCCTGGCCGCAATGCACCTTCTGCAGTTAGCACTGTGGCCCCCCCACCCCGTACACGCAACACTGTGCTTCCCATTGTACATGCAGCAACCACTGTCGTGAGAACCGGCCCTCAGCACCCGCTGCCGGGTCTATGGCCTTCAGAGGCCAATAAAGTGATGTCTCTCTGGAGCTACAAATGTACTGAACATCGACCCTGTAACAAAGCCTAGGAACGTATCCCTTTTCCCTCGGCGCACACAATACAAGCGACCCCTGGGGCTGGTCAGCTCAATCCTGGGAGCACTGAACTTGGGGCTTTCTCCAGAGACCCAGTCCATCTGGGGGGGTGACTGGAGGGATGGCGGCCACCTCTCGGGCAAAGTGACTGAGCGAACAGGAGGGGGTGGGTGACAAGCTGTGTCTGCATGAATTCTATGCCAGTGAGGTGTCTGCTAAAGGAGGTTTCAGAAGGGTAGATCATTCTCAGAAGAGGAGGCCGGACGCCGTTCGGAGGCTCCGCAGAGCTGAGCATGTGCCGGAGAGAAAGGGGAGGACAGGTGACGTCACCGTGCTCCTCTAGGAGCCCTGGTGGTGCACTCGGCTACTTCAGGAAAGGCCGGCAGTTGGGACTCAGCCACCCTTCCCTCCTGTGGAAGACAGCCCCAGGGATGGTCCCCCGTGGGTGACCAGCCTGGGCACCCCTCCTCTGGCCACTAGGGTTGCTAAGCACACAAGGATGCTTTTCTTTAGAGCTACCTTGTGTCTCTAAAATTTCAAAATTTTAAATACTTAAAAAAAAAAGGAATATAGCAGCATTTCCTGTACATCACAAACCAACCCAAACCGGCTGCCGCTGAGCCAATTCTGCCCCGTGGTGACCTCGTGAGCCTCGAAGCAGGGCTGTGCCTGTAGGGGTTTCCCAGAGGGCAGCCAGGCCTTTCTTCCACATTGTCTCCGGGTGGACTCGAGGGTTCAGCCTGGGCGCTCCCCACGGATTCTCAGGGGCTGTCCTCGCCTAGTGCCCATGGCTGGTGAAGGAGCAAGTTCTTATTTTCTTAGGGCTCTTCAGGGGCTTGCCCCAAAGCACAGGGCAGAGCTGCAGTTTATTGGCCAGCAGATGCCAAGCCTCAGCCCTAGGGGTGCTGGGGAAAGCCAGCTGCCTGAAGCCAGGGGTGTGATGGGGAGGAGAAAAGGGGGTGAGCCCAGGAAGGGGTGGAGAACGAAGAGGGGTGCAGCCTCTCTCAGCAAGCTGTCTCCCAGAAAACCAGGTGCTTTCCCACCCCTTGTGTCTGGCTTCCTCCTTCTGGGAATGCTATCTGGCTCGGAGTCTATCACCTGTGATGTCACCGGCGGTAACCAGGGAGAGGCGTGACCTAGCTGGCCCCAGGGCACAGCTACAGAACAAGTGCTGTGTGACAGCACTGTGGGCAGTTCAGAAAACCAAGGGCAAGAAGCCCCAGGCCAAGACTGGGGCGACTCAGCTTCCGGAGCCCCCCCGCCCCCCCAGCCCATGACAAGCTGAGATGCCAGTGGCTGGTACGTTGGCACGCGCGAGCGCACGCGCGCGCGCACACACACACAGAGAGCCATGCAGGATCCCAAGACCTGGGGGTGTCAGGGCAGGAAAAGTTTAAATTGGGGGGGGGTGTCTTTTGCACAGCGCAAGAAATACATGTGCTGGGGTAACGTTAAGCACTATGAGGTTGTGGCCCTGCCTGTGAGGAATTCATCACACACTGAGGGCTGGCCCAAGCTCCGGACAGGGACGGCACTCTGTCCTCAGAGCCTGGCCCAGTGCTGCTCTGTAACAACAGTAACTAACGGAGGCCGACAGGAGTCGCCATACACACTTCAGCATTAAACCAACGTTGGGTTTGGTTCAGCAGCTCTCCAGACCCACCAGAGGTAGGACATCTACGGGCTGACAGAGTCCAGATAAGTGCCGAAATCATCGGTACCATATTTATCTGACCACAGAACACGACGACTACTCGCATAAGAGATGAACAACAGCAACCATACCAGATGCACCGCAGAACCCAGCACTCATATACCTGGCCGAGTCCTGGTGGCGTAGTGGACTAGAGGTTGAATGCGTGACCTGAAGGTCAGCAGTTTGAACCCCCCAATGGCTCCTTGAGAGAGAGCTGAAGCGGTCTGTCCCCACACCCAAAGGGGCAGTCCTGTCCTACGGGGCTGCTCCATGTCACATGGCCTTACTGGCCGTGAGTTTGCTCTGCTTACTTTCCCAAAGGAGTCCTGGGCACTGAGGGATAAGCGCACTGCTCACCACAAGGCCAGTGATTTGAACCCACCAGGAGCGAGATGAGGCTGCCTGCTCCGGTCAAGATTCACTCCCGGCTCTGGCAACCCTACGCAGAGGGTCGCTGGAAGTCGGCGTCAGCTTGATGGCAGTGGGCGGGCTGTTTGTCAAAGCATGTTCAGGTACAGTCTCTCACACCTGTGAGGCAGGTGGCAGTAGCCTCGGGTGCCGTCCAGTCACACGGGCCAACCCACACTGGCCATGTGACAGAGGGAATGCTTCCCCACAGGGCTCACGGATCTCAGATGAGCAGCGGCTGGATGACTCTGAACCGCAAATCTCTCAGCTAGCGATGACTGTTTGTTATTACACCTTTCAAAAGCTAAGGAGCCTGGTGGCAGAGTGGTTGCGCATTGGGCTGCTAACTGCAAGGTCAGCAGTTCAAAACCACCAGCCGTCCCATGGGAGAAAGATGGAGCTTTCTACTCCTGTAAACAGATATAATCTCAGAAGCTCAGGGGTAGTTCTGTCCTGTCCAAAAGGCTCGCTATGAGTTGCCATCGACTGGATGGCAGTGAGGGTCTAGGTCTCAGACCTAGACCCGGGATTACCCACAAACCCAGTGTTGAGAAGGGTGGAGGTCTCTGGGATCCGATCACTCCCACCACTACTCACCCCAGAAGCTTGCTGTGGTCCAGCTGGTGGCTGGGGGGCATTCGGCAGGCACTGAACACAATGATCTTCCGCCCATACTTGTCATCGCCTAGTACAGAGACAGACGAGAGAGAGAGGTAAGAGAGGGCCTGGGGGTTGGTGTGGGGTGGCATCTAGCACCAGGGCTAGAGGGGCCCAAGACGGCAGGCCTCTGGGCAGCCTCCTGCCCTCACGGTGCCACAGGAGGAGGAGGAACAGGTTGGGGAACCTCAGGACACCGAGGGAGAAATTAAATACAGATGTGATTTTGAAAAGAGTGTCGCCCACCAAAGCACTTGAATCTTGTCAAACGGCCATCAGAATCAGCCCGGCTATTCCACGAGCACCCCGCCCGGCCCGCGTGTATGCCTGACAGCGGCACAGGGAGCTGCCACCAAGGGAAGCCGGAGGCCGCAGGGAAAATCACCTCATCACTCACCAGGCTGCTGTGTGCGCGCGCACGTGCCCGTGTGAGAGGGAGGGAGGGGGCGAGAGAGAAAGAGATGAATATAGTTGTACCAAAATATGTGCCATTTCCAGTCTGACCGGTCGTTTTTACTTTGATTGCTAGAATTATTGAACAGACTTGCTGGTCAACCTTCCTTGTTCAGGATATTCTTACAAACCTGGAGCTCGGGGGAGTCTGGGATTCGGGGAAATGCTTACAGGGGTGGGACCACTCAGGATGTTTGTCCAAACAAGTCAAAGTGGCTGGGTGGCTGGTTCTGCCATGTAACACAGCAGGGGTTCTGGGGAAATGCCACACTCCCAGAGCGATCAGCTCTCCCAGGGTCGGCATGGACCCGTGAGGACAAGGCCTCCCTCCCTTCCCATGTCCCAGGAGCCTTCGCATGAATTACCTCCAGAGGCAGAGGCACCCGCTCCTCATCGCCTCTGCTTGGCAGGCAAACAAAAGGACTACTTCCATAGCCCAGGAAACGAGAGCGGAGCTGATCTCACCACCTTTGAGGACGGACTGCCCACTCCACACTGAGTCTCCCTCCCATTCGATAAACCACAACCCTGGGTCTGTCTTATGCTAGTCAACTGGCATTACACAGGTCTTAGAGCTGGTGAGCAGTGCCTGGGCCTCAAAAGCTTATGAGCAGCCATCAAAGATAAACTGCTGGGCTTTCGTTGTCTGGAGCAGAGAGAGAGAGACCCAAGAATCAGAGAAGGAAGCAGACGGCAGGGCTGCCTCCATGAGCCACTGCTGGAGACCGGAGGAACTAGATGGTGCCCGGCTATCCCTCTGGACACAGAGGTCCTGATAGAAAGAGGAACAGAGTGGGAGACAAGAGCCCTAACTTCTGAGAGAATCCAGACTTCCAGGACCTCCTACGGCTGGAGGACTTCCTGAGACTACAGCCCTGAGTTATTCTTCAAACACTGGTCAAAACTATCATCAGAGTCTCCTCTAACCTAAGTAACAGATTAACTCAGAAAGTGAAAATGACATATTCCTTAAAGAAACAACAAAAAAGCTCTCTATCAGACCAAGCAGACTACAGTTACTCTGAAACAGAAGGACAGGGGGCGGGGAGTTTGAGAAGAGAAACCAGGAGGATGTGGAAAGGGAGTGCAGTGTGTGCCTGATATCACGGACACATCTAGAAACTGCTGAGTGGGCATGGGCTTCACTGCGTCCACTTTCAATAAAAATAAAACATGGAAAACAAACAAAACCCAAGCTTTGGCCTGGATGCTCCTCCTTGGTCGGAGACTTAACCCAGGAGTCCAGGTTTTTCCACAGAGCTTGCCAAGGCCCTGACCTTTGTCTCTAGGACTGGGGCAAGGCTCAGAGGAGGGGCTGAAAGAGGCTTCTGGAATGTGGGCAGGGTGACCTCAGGCCCTGCAGGCTGGGCTTGGACAGTTTAACGTCTCCCTCCCAACAATGTGACTACCAGGTCTCTGTCCTTGAAGCCCTCCACTGAGACCCCAAACAGTGCCTGGTCCTAACTAGGGCCCCCCAAGGGCTTGCCGGGTCATGGTCTAAGACCCAGGCCACCACGCCCACAAGAGGCCCTACCCTCCCCTCTGAAACCACTCGGACCCTCAGTCTGGAGAATTATCAACCCGGGAACCCCTGGGTGGTGCGGACGGTGAACAGAGGTGTCTGATAATACAATGGAGGGTGGGCCCTTGGAGGAAAGGCGCCTGGTGACCAACCTTCCAAAAACCAACCACTCCAAACTCAGGCGCAGCTCGGGGACACTCCACAGGCCACAGCCACTGGCTGGCTTTTGTTCGATTTTGGTCTCCCACCTCTACTGTCCTAAATCCTACTCTGGTCCTAAGCGCACCCCCAGATCCGCTCTTCTCGGCTCCCAAGGCCGTCAATTCCGTGCCGAAAGCCCCTGCTCACACCGGCCGGGTTTCAGCTTCTGCACTTCCCACTTCCTCATACCGGACCCATCTTTATTTTAGATGTTTACATGCGAACTTCTATAAATACTTAAGACTCAACCCAGAAACCTGCACCCTCTCCTCCCCTCAGACAGGGCAGCTGTCCCTTCCCGTGGGTCCCAGCACACATGGGGACCCACACCTGTCCTGACCATCGTATATAATTAGATGCGAGGGGGTGCTGATGCGCCGGTCTCCTCTACTGGCTTGTGAGCTGCCGGAAGACAGGGACCACATGCATGCCAGCCACCTATGACTCCCATGCCCAGCACAGGCACTGGCCTAGGTCACCACGAGCATGGCAGGGTGGGCCCGGTCCTGTGCCCCAGATCCTTCCTCATGATCTCACTCAGGTTGAGGTCTGGGGTAGAGAGCCCCCCAAGCCATCTGCAAAGGTGCAGCAATTCCCCAGCAGGTCTATTTTGGGGATCTGGTGCCATGTGGTCTTTCACACCGGAGAATGGATCTGGCACGCTGGAGGGCGGGGTATGGAGGGAGGGTGTTTCTGGGGCCACATGCCTGCTCTGATTCCCCTTCCACCAACTCTGATGGGGACAAAGAGGTCACGGTGGCAGAGGCAAGGCCAGGCTGGAGGGAAAAGTAGGAGGGGGTGGGGGGAAGAGGAGGGCCTCAGAGGACCCTTCCCATCCCTGCCCCTCAACAGTGAGGCCTCATTTCACAGGCCGCCTTGTGGGCAGATTTGAGGGCTTAGAAAACCCAAGCACACACCCCCACTGCCATGGGCCTAGTTCCCACGCAGCCAGCCCGGCCATGTAAAGATGAAGGGGCAAGGGGCCGGGGGCCCAGGGCTCCCTCTCCCAGCTGGCCAGGAAAAAAGATCCAACAGCCCCTTGCAGTAGAGACAGTTCTGGCTCCGAGTGGTGCTGTCGGTCAGAGAACTGCCCCCTGGGGGTTCGAGGTGGTCCTCTTTCTCCTGTGGAGCAGCTGGTGGATTTGAACCACTGACCTTTCGGTTAACAGTATGCACCAGGGCTTGGCAGGCCCTCCCCCAAAGCAAACCTGTACCACCGAGTCGATTCTGACTCATCTGGACCCTAAAGGTTGGAGCAGAAGTGCCCTGCAGGGTTTCCCAGGCTCTCCTTGACAGGAGCAGAAGCCTTCTCTCTCTCCAGGAGAGCCGCTGGTGGGCCCCAACCACTGATCTCACAGGTGGCAGCCCTCGGTTGAATCCATGGCACCACCAGGGACCTTTTTCCAGCTGCCTACAAAACACCCTCACTGACATCCAGTCAGTACCGATTCATAGTGGCCCTACAGGGCAGGGTAGAACTTGCCCATGAGTTTCCCAGACTGTAACTCTTTAGGGACGTTGAAAGCCCTGTTTACTCCCTCTATGGGGGCTGCTGGTTTCAAACGGCTGATCTTTCGGACTGCGGCCCAATGTGTAGCCACTAGCTGACCTCTCACTGCCCCTGGCAGTGCAGACTCAGAGCAACCCCCTGGGGGTTTCCGAGGCGATGTTTCTCCCTTGAAGTTACTGGTGGTTTTGAACTGCTGACCCTGCAGATCACAGCCCAATGCTTAGCTGCTACACCACTATGGTAGTTACAAAATCTGGTGTCAATTTGAGTGTAGGGGTGGAGTCTAGCTTGTCAATTCGGAGATAGTCAATGAGACCTCTGTGTGGGCATGGCCTTCTCCTGAGAATTCTGGGAATTCCTGGATTTTTCCTGCTTGGAGTTAGGAGACACTTCTCTCTGCTCATTCCCCTGGAGGACACTGTACTGACAAGACACCTGGAACCAGGCTAGAGCCCGTAGCTGGAGAGGCCACGTGAAGACCCCTGGCAGCGCTGAGATGCTTACAGCGCCACTGGGTCCAAAGACTTTCCACCCACTGGCTGTGATTGCCCTGCATGCGGCATCGCTGCATGTACTTCGTGAGTCTGAAGAAGACGTTATAGATCGGTATTGGACAAATGGGCTAATGTCGGAATTATAGGCTTGGACTGGACTGGGTTGGGATACTTTCTTCATGTATAATTTCCCTTTATATAAAACTCTCCCTTATACATGAGTGTCTATGCATTTGTTTCTCTAGTCTACCCGGACTAGTCTAGCTACCCACCACAGCTCCCTCTCGCTGCCCCCACCCCTCCGCCCTTGTCAATGGTCAACTTTGGGTTTGCAAGCAGAGCCTCCGAATGGACACAACTGCTTCTGACAATCCCCCAGAGCCTTCCCTGAGGGGCTGGTGAATGGCTTTAGGCCTGTCTTACTGGACAGAAAGCTCCTTAAAGAAGCGACTGCGTGACCTGCCTCATGAACTGCCCAGTGCCGGTTCCAAAGGGGCACCAACAGCTGGGGAAATGGAATGAAAGATCGTGGGACTTTTCCACAAACTTTCTGAAGTCCCCACGTAAATGCATGTTGGATGAACCAGGACAGGGGTGGCAGGAGGGACCATGGGGGTGGGGGTGGGGAGATTGGATGACTAGATTCCCAGACAGGTGAAACAGAAGCACACGGGCAATTCTAGGGCCCCGGCCTCCCGCCCCTGCTAAAACAGAGGGTCCCAACCCCTCGGTAGCCAGGCAGGGTGAATGCAGCATGGGACACCCTTCCCCACAATCCTCCAGAGCAGTGGGGGAGAGTACTGGCTGCATTCCCCAGATACCAGTCAGAACTCTCCTGGGGTGGCCAGTGGCGGGGGTGGGGGGTGGGGGCTAATCAGCCACGTTCCAGCCTCTCCAGCTGCCACCACTTGGGAAACGCTGCCCGGCCACGCCCACAACCTGCTGAACATGCCAGGGATGTCCCCACCCCCACCCCACTCCACCCCCACAAGGCAGGCTTGCAGGAGCCAATTGTCAGGCAGTCTGCAAGCTGGTTGACATGACACTCCTGGGAGCTTGCAGTCGGCCATGGGAGACTGACAAATGCTACAAATAGTGCCCCACCCCTTTTTCATTCAGAAGACCCAACTGGCAAACATTGACTGGCGGGCCACTGCAAAGCTTAACCAGGGAACATGCCAGCCAATGCCAGCCAGGGAAGCAGGCTCTGAAGGAGTGAGGGCACCATGCCAGGAAGCAGGCTCGAGGGTGTCACCATGGTCTCATCAAGCAGGACAATCAGCGGGGCACCATGCCAGCCTTCTGCGTTTGGGCTGGAGAGGCCAGTGCCAGGCCGGGCCACTGCACACAGCTGGGCACAGCATGAGGTGGGGTGGGCACATGGCCCTCTGTCCCCAGGAGCCAAGTTCCCTTTGGACTCAGGGCCTGTCCCCACAGAGCCTCCACCCTGTTATAAACATTTCTCCCAGGTGCCACCAGCTCCTTGTGGCAAGTAAGCTGGCCCACCTGGCCTCCACCAAGCAGCCCCTCCTGATCAACAAGCCCCACCCCCACCCTGGTTGGAAGCCAATCACAGCGAGCCTGAAGGACACACCTACCTGGCTGGGCCCCCTCAGGCGCCTCACACCCTGGGAAAACAGAGACAATTCGCAGCTAGGCTGGCTGAGGCAGAGGGGCACCCAAGGAGGAGGAACCAGCCTCACTGCTCTGCCTCCGGATGTGACCTCATGGGCCAGGATGATGGCAAGGTGGGACGCCTTCAAATCAGACATCCCACACCCCACCAGGTCCACCTCTGGAGCACTGAGGCTGGAAAGTTCTGGCCCTTCCCTGACCCTTGGTCTATGGACATACTGCCAGGACAGAACTCTCAGGAAGAGTGAGAGGGGCCAAAGCTCAGAGCCCTGGGCCAGACCAGGCCAGGGCAGACCACCAGGCCAGGCCAGGCCCAGACCAGGGCAGGGCAGACCAGGCCAGGCCCAGACCAGGGCAGGGCAGACCAAGGCAGGACAGGCCCAGACCAGGGCAGGGCAGACCAGGCCCAGACCAGGGCAGGGCAGACCCAGGCCAGGTCAGGCCCAGGCCAGACCAGGGCAGGGCAGGCCCAGACCAAGACAGGCCTAGACCAGGCCAGGCCCAGGCCAGACTAGGGCAGGCCAGACCAGGGCAGGCCCCAGGATCACGGGCAGGCCCTGGGACCACAGGCACTGTGGAAAGGCCTCTGATTCTCTGGCAAGCCTCCAACTGCCCTGCCCCTCCCTGAGGCCAAAGTCTGGGAGAGAAGGCACTTCCTTCTGGCTTCTTCCAGGACCCTCACGGCACTGTACAGAGGGCCCCTGGCCCACCCGCTGCCTCAGAACAGTGCTGCCAACAGCAGCCTGAGCTCACCAGCAAAGACAGATCACTACCAAGGAAAAGACAAAACCGAGGCCAAACCCACTGCCACCCAGTTCATCTGGCCTCCTGTCAGCCCCAGGAGGGTTTGCATCTGTCCGTCTTCACGGAAACAGACAGCCCCACCTTGCTCCCTCAGAGAGGCTGGTGGCTTTGAACCACCAACCTAGACGTTGGCAGCACGACCTCACCCGCCACACAGCAGCGCTCCTGGGGGAAAGATGAAGGAGAGGACCACTTCGAGTTCCTCCTCGAACGAGGGGGCCTTGAGAGCAGGTGCTGCTCACTGCGACCCTCCCTGCTTCCACTTTCCTCTGGGGCTTGTCTCAGGAACAGGAGGGTGGGGCTCACCGAGGCAGCACCCCCTTCCCAGCCAGCTCGCCCATCTTCAGGGAGCCTAACACCTCTCGTGAGCCTCCTCACCTCTAGGAGACATCCTCCGAGGTGGGTTCCCCACGTGGGACAGGCCTCTGCCCTCCCGGGAACTGCTGGGGCGGCAAGGTTGACAGCAGGTCAGAGGGCAGTAGAGTGGTGAGCGGCCAGGCCAGGCCCTCACACTTGCACACCATCCTCTCGGTGAGCCCAGGAAGAAGACACCCGCACCCAGGGGTCACATTTCTGGTCCAAAGTCATTCCCTTGGTCGTCAAGCAGCAGAGAGATGACATCAAGCCAAGCCGGGGGTCCCCTGCCTCTCCCATACAGGTCAGGATGGGATTCAGCAATCAGTGATTTGAGCACTGGGGCCCCTGTGGGTCCCCAGGGCCAGGAAGCGGGGGGGCCGCTGGCTGAACTCACCTGCCACCTCCACAATCTGGTGCCGGGCAATGTCGTAGTAGGGGTCATCCCACTTCAGGTGTGTGGCAGGTTCCGGGGAGCTGCATTTGGAATCATCTGAGGAAACATGTCCCATGGACCAGTCACACCAGGGAGCTGGCACGGCACCCCCACAGATGCAGGCTCTCACACACACCCTGCACTCCGAGACACACACACACACACACACACACACACACACACACACCCTGCACTCTGAGACACACACTCACTCTCTCTCTCTCTCTCTCTCTCTCTGCAGGCACTACCTGACTTGGGGAAGTCTGGCATTTCATCGGAGGGCCAGTTCTTCTCATCAATGGAGGCCAGCTTCAGCTGGTTCAGAGCCTGGCTGGGGTCGTCCACGGTTATGTCGTCCTGCAGCTCCGACAGCGGGTCCATGGCCAGCCTGCTCCCCCACAGAACCAGAGGAGAGAACTGGCAGGGGGAAGAGGGAAGGTCACTGACAACTTCCTTCCAGCCCCCATCATTGCCACAGCAAGCCTCCTCCATCCAAACCCCCGGCCCCAGCTTCCTGTCCCCTGACCCTCCGTCCCAGTTCCTCAGTGTTCCTCATCCCTGCCAACCGCTCTGCGCTGCCCTGGCTTCTCCTGGCTCCACAGTTCAGGCCTGGTGCCAGAGAAGGCAGCTGGGGCAGAGAGTGGCATGGCTCAGCGCCTCCAGCTGGCCACGCGAGCCGTGCCAGGCCCTGCGCTGCCCACTACCCAGCTGGCTTAGCCAGGCAGCCCTGGATGCCAAGAGTACAGGGCCCCATTCCTCTCCTTAGGGGTCCGGAACGCCAGAAGCTTCCGAGGACCCTGCCGAGACAGAGACAGAGACAGAGAGAGAGAGAAAGAAGAAGACGACGACGACGATGCAGATGCAGACGCAGAAATCTTGCAAGAATCCAAGGAGCAAAGGGGTGTTCCAGACCCTGGGCTTCAGGCTCTGGTCCTCCATCCCCTGCTTCTGAGCTGGGGTAGAGAAGGTTCCAGGGAAAAAGGGTCACAGCTGAGAAGCCCCAGGGGCTTACCCCAGCACAGGGGACAGAGTCGGCCTGCTAGTCACAGAGCAGACAATCTGCAGGCCCAGGGGCTCCCAAGTCCACCCCTGATCCTAGCTTCAACGGGGGAAAGGTCTGTGGGCTGCCCTCAGGGTTGGAGGGGCTCGACTGGGAACAGGGGGCGGAGGGGAAGAGAGGAGGAAACTGCAGCCCAGCAGGCAGGACGGAGAAGCGCTGCCCCTCAGGAGGTGGCCGCTTGCAGCTCAGGGCCAGCACCCTGTGCTCTCAGCTCAATGGGACGCGAAGCCCTCTCCCACCACCAGAAGGGTGAAGGGGGACCTTTCAACTCAGCACACTTGGCCAGCCTCAGATACAAAACAGCTTGGAGCCTGCCTGCGTACTTCGGAGTCCACAGAGGGACATATATGGTCAGAGAGTCAGCCGGCAGATGGGGAATGCAGACAAGAGCCTGGGAGGGGGTGGGGAGAAGAGGAAGAGAGACTGTCATAGGACATCCAGACCCTCAACTCCTTAGGGCTCTGCGGCACTGAGACACCCTCTTACATGCGTCACAGCTGAGGAGTCTAGGTGGCAAACTGGCTCTCTGTGCCTAGCAACAGTCACTCTGTTACTGGGGCAACCACCTCAAGTCACTGGGAAAGCTGTTTGCAGCGTCTGAGCCGAAGCTAAGGGAAAACTCTTCTGTCCTCCGCTGCCCCTGCTCACCAACTGCCCGGAGAAGTCTTGTGCCTGCACACAGAGAAATGGCCCGGGCCTATTGGGGAGATCTCGCTCTCTCTCCACGTTTGTTCTCCTGTGCCCCTCACCCCTAAAGCACAACCCCCACTTTCCTCCAACCCTCCAATGCCAGCAGTCCTCAGCCTTTAGGAATCGGTCCCTGATCTATCCACATACATATCTACCCTCCTAGTCAGCCAACCAGCAGGCTGTGAGGGCGGCTCCCCGAGGGGCCAGACCCAGCTCAGAGCCACCCCCACCTCCAGAGCTGAGGCCGTTGCCCTGTCCAGCTGTTCTGCCCGTCTGGATGGCCCCCCGCCCCAGGCTCCTTCAGTCTCCTTCAGTCTCCTTGAGGAGACTTTGGGCAGAGCTGGTGCTTCACACGGTGGAGCTGGAGAACTGACTGAAGAGTCTTGCCTAAGCCCTTCTTGTACCTGGGCCCCAATTTCCTCCTCTACAAAAGCGAGGGCACCTCCCCTGAAACACAATTCCCCACTATTCTAAAATGCTCCTGGCTGAAGTGGACAACAGGATTAGAAGGAGCAGCTGAGACCAGAGAAATGTGCTGGGGGGGTGGGGGGTGGGGGTTGAATTCAATCTCCACCTCTTGCCCAGAAACCCCTCTTCCACTGTGCCTTCTGATGCCCCCACCCCCAGAAGTTCCCTTTGCAGCAATGTTAATCCCAGCTGTCCTTCCCAGCCAGACTGGCCTCTCTTGCTGCCCTCCGACCCACAGCTGTTGACATCTCTGAGCTGTGATGAAAACTAGCCCAACCTAAGTGGTGAAAGGGGTGTCTAAGAGCCGGCTACCCACAAGCTCTACTCCAATCTGTGAAAAAACACTCCGCATTCTGATCAGAATTTTTCCCAAACTATCTACCTTTACAAAAAAAGAGATGTTTTCATAAACTTTTTATTGTGCATTAGGTGAGGGTTTCCATACAGATCAGATCATCATGTTTACAATCAACAACTTAGCCCTCCCAATGGCTTGCTCCGTTTCCCCTTTTTTTTTAACCGACCCCCCCATCTTCCTCTTGTTGGATATTGTCTTCCTCTTCACTCATGTCAACACCTGTCTACCTTCTCGCCTGTTACTTCTCCTGCCCTCGCTTCCCCTGACAACCATCAAAGTCTGACAAAAATCTCTTAAGAACCGCTTTAGACAGAAGTTCTAAAGTGGAGAAAGCCCCGAGCCTCTCTGATGAAACGAGTGAACTCTTCCCATAAGGAAATCAACATACAATGGAATCTTGCATGCAACAATTTTCTGGGATTCACAGCTACTTTGAGGGTCCAGGGCCTCTTCAGAATAATGCCTGGCTCGCAGTTAATGCTCATTAATACTTGCTGCTTGTCTGCCTCAATCTATTCAGTGCCTAAGTGGCAAACCAAACCCAAACCCAAACTCACTGTCATCGAGTTGATGCCAACTCACAGCGACCCCACTGGACCGAGTAAAACTGCCCCTGTGGGTTTCCAAGACTGTAACTCTTGACGAGATAAGAAAGCAAGGTCTTTCTCCTGAGGAGGGAGCGGCTGGTGTTTCCACCTGCCCACCTTTCAGTTAGCAGCCCAACACATACCCACTAGGCCACCAAGGCACCGCGAAAAAGGCCCAACATTGGCTGAGGTTCTACAAGGCACCAGGAAATGCACAAATAGCTCTTTTAACTTCACAACCACACGGTCTGGCCAGTACTAAATGAGCTCACTTTGAGGTTTGAGGGACGTGGGGATCGGGGCTGGGGGGATATCAGTAAAGTACTTTTGATCATACAGCCAAGCAAGAGCCTGCAAATTTAACCCACAGGAGTCGGCGGTGGTCTGCAGGTAAACAATTCTCTAATTGAAGCACTGAGGCCGATCTCAAAGTTCAGCTAGAAGATCTGAGGCCAATGAAAGCCTCTGGGTTCAGACCAGAGGCAGCAACTTGACATGGAATTGCCGGGGCCGTGGAATTGTCCTCCAGAGGGCGGGCGGCAGCGGCTCCGGACTGCAACCCCCCAAATCCCCCAGTACAACTACAATCACGTTTGCACAGGTATTCACCGTCAACCAATCCCAGATCGGGTGTCACTACCCCATTTCACAGATGAAGTAATTGAGATGGAAACGTGGCCTAATCATTGGCAGGGTGAAACCCTCCTCCAATCTCTTCTTCAAAATGTTTGTCGGCTCTGAACGGGAAAGACTCCCCCTCCCACGGGCTTGCTTCCAGACGACGCTGGGGCCAGGGGAGAGCCGGAGCAAGGCAGCCGGAGAGGAGCAGCGGAAGCCCGGCCCGCAGGCCACAACCCACCTTCGAACCCCCTTCTCAAATATACTGGGGTCCTCCCCCATCGAACCCTATCCCTTCGAACCCCCGGCCAGCTTCTTTCCTTTCCCCACCCCTACCCACGCCCGAAGAGACCCCCCCGCCCCACGCCCAGCCGCTCACCGCGCCCGGGCACTGCTCCCTCTGCCACGCCTGTCAAAGCTCGGCAAACATCCGGCTCCGCCGTAGACCGGGAACCGCCCCCTCCCTGTCCCTCCAGGCCACACTCCCCCACCACTTCCGCCATTCCTCTACTCCACTTCCGGCCCGTCGTCCGGGCCAAGCCAGAGCCCCGCCCACTTCCGGACTGTGCCCGCCTCGGGGGCTACAGCATAACTGTCCGAGTCCTCTCGCCCAACAGGTGGCTGAAAATAATAGTTCCACCTCCCTGCTACTCGAATTAACGGCCTCTCTCCGGTTTCTTACCCTCGCATTGTCCTCGCACAGATTTTGCTTCATAAGTGCTCCCACACTCCCGGTCCTGTGTCCCAAGGAGGTCTGACTCTTCGGATCCTTTTGCTCGGAGAAAGGTTGGCTGCCAAGGACGGTTTCCGAGAGGAGCGGAGAAGACGGCGCTCACTTCCGGCGGCGTGTGGGTGGCTGGCCCGTGATGGAAGAGGCGGAGGAGTTTCTCTCGACTGGAAGGAGATCGGAGCCCGGCAAGTGCCCTACGAAGTCAGCGGCCCACGGCGCCGTCCTGAATGGAACTAACGCCATTTGGTTGCCTCTCGCTCCCCGTCCTTGTCCCTCCTGTGCCCTCAGAGCCCACCTCCCGACTTGTTAGACCCTCTAAACTCCCCTAGATTCCTCCCGGGGAGCCCTGGTGGGGTTAAGCCGCGACCTGTCCATCTACAGGTCAGTGATATGAACCCTGCAGGACACAGCGGAGGCTGTTTGCTCTCATAAAGATTTACAGCCTCGGCACCCCCTCGGAGTTCTACGGGGTCCTGTAGGGTCGTCTGAGTCGGAATCGACTCCACAGCAGGGGGGTTCGTTTTTTGATCGCCAGAACCTTACAAATCCCTCCGATCTCTGAGGCCTTGCTGGACTGGCAGCTGCCTCCAGCACCTCGCCCCGCACCCAGGCCCTCCGCTGCTCGCTCAGTCTCCCCTTGTGTCTGCAGTCCCTGTGCCGCCTCCGCTCCCCGAGTCCGCATGGAGCCTCCCGTGGGAGCCAGCGCCAGCCAGCCCAGCTCTAAGGAACCTCCCCCGGGGCTTGGCCCTTGGCCCTTCCCTCGTCCACGAGCAGCGTTTGGGGATCTGGTGTGTTGGGGAGCCCTTGCAGCCGGGACAGCATTGGGGACCGCTGGAAGAAAAGTCGGTGTCGGAGCAGCGCGAGGAAAACCAGCCTGAGGAGGTATTGAGAGATGGGACGTTTCCTCGCCGTGATTGGAACCTCGAGGACTTTCAGACATTCTCTGATAACTCTTCAGCCAGGCAGGGTGTTTCCAACACAACATGTTTGTGTTCTCTGCAGGGCAGCCTCACACCCTCGTTAGGAACTGAGCGGGAAAACTGTTAGTAACAACTCTGGGTTAGCAATGTATTAGCAATGACAAAATCCACAGGGTTGAGGCATTACAAAGGCATGGGTCAATTAATTACCAGGCTTGTCACCGTGTTATTTGGTTGCCCGGTTAAGGAATTTATAAAATAAAGGAATTAATGTCAGCCTCTGAATTATTAGGGAGACAAAGATAAAGGAGCCCTGTTGACACAGTGAGGTCTTGACTCTGCTGCCTAATGGATTTCAACTCTTAGGACTCTACCCAGTCCTGCAAGACTGGGTAGAGAAGTAGACAGCTTTGTCTTTCTCCCACTGAGCAGCTGCTGGCTTTGAACTGCTGCCTTGGGGTTTGCAGCCCAGCAGGTAACCACTACCCCACCTGGTGATCTGCTCCCATAAAGATTACAGCCTAGAAAGCCCTATAGGGCAGTTCTCCGTCACATGAGGTCACTATGAGTCCCTTGTGACAGCACTTGATAACAGGTGAGAGAATGCCACGAAAGGTCTCATTGGTTCACAAGTGTGGCAAAGGTTGGTTTGCCTGTTCCTGCCTCTTAACTTTCTACTTACGTACTCACTGACAGGCTAGATTGAGTTCCACTTCCTGTTCTCCGCACCGTGAAAGGGAGGTGAAGGCTCAGTGTTTACTAACGCAGACTCTCCATTAGAGAGCCCAGAGGCCATGCGAGCCCCCCTCAAACACATGTGAGGAGGACTTCTATTGGTTTGTTTCAGGACCTGTCCCGAGACCCCTGGCGAGACATCTGCGCCTGCGAGCGGAGTTCAGGTTGGACCAGGTAAGCGACAGGAGCAGACGTAGTGAAGGTTGTGCCTTTGAAGCTGCTGCTCTTTGTGACTTGAGGACTCTTGGTGGCACAGTGATTAAAACGGTCAGCTGCGAACCAGAAGGTCGGCAGTTCGATCCCACTATCCATTCCCTGGGAGAATGATGTGGTTGTCTGCTCCCGTAAAGATTTGCAGCCTAGGATACCCCATGAGGCAGTTCGGCTCTGCCTTCCAGGGTCCCTGTGAGTCAGAGTCAACTCTGTTAGGGGGGTTACATGGTGCTTGTGGCAATAGGACCTGAAGCTTTTGGTTCAAGTTTTCCAAAGGCGTGGGGTCCCTCAGGGCTCGGGCTGCCTGGGTGCTGGGGTTCTCAGGGAAGCCCTGGACAGACGGGTACTTGCTCTAGCTCTTGCTCTGCTTTGCAGTTTGGTGCAGCGAGGCAGGCGGGAGAGTGAGGGCAATGTAGCCCCTGTTCGGATCAGCGCCAAGCTCCACCTGCAGGTGTGCCGGCTGGTGCGGCCGGGCCTTGAGCTGCTGTTGCTGCTGCCCCGCGGGCCTCCCTCTGAGCCCTCACCCCCCACCTCGCCCAGCCCAGAGGAAGGACAAGCCAGGACTACGCCAGTAACAGAAGTGGTGCAACAGGAGAGACCCCACGCAGGGGAAGGTGCAGCAGATCCCTCCACAGGTAGGTGTGAAATGCTGTGCCAACAAGTGGACACCCAAACAACTCCTGCTAAGCGAAGGTCCCGGGTTTGTAGCCGAATGTGAGCGAGCACTGCTGAGGCTCAGCTTTTCTAAGGGGAAAGGGCAGCGTTGAGATTTTTGAAGGCTGGTTTCCCGTGGGTCTCTCGATGAGGGTAGCAATGAAGACATGCATGTTCAGGCTTGGTAGGCTCAACAAGGCTAGGCTTGTCAGGCAGGGTGTGGGCTAGCTATCATCCGCTGGGTCTTTGGGGAGTCATTTGTAAGAGCTTCTGGAAGAACAAGGTCATCTGACAAGGACATTGAGCTGCACGCAGAGATGCCGGCCTCTTAGGCTTCTTCTCTGGGGTGCCCTTGTTTCACGGGGGAGCGGGGGTCGTTCCTGACTCACATCCTTAAGTGGGTACCTCCAGGGGCAGCAGGATGGGCCCTCTGAGATGGCCTTATACTAGGGATGATGCTCATCATGGCCAGGCACCCGGGTTTCCAGGCCTGCTGCCCCAGAGGCCCCTGAGGCTGGAGAGTGCTGGATATGGTGTGTGGGTCCTGCGTCCAGGAAGACCCTGGTGTCGTTGCTGCTGTCCAGGTCAGGGCTGGGCTGGAGAAGACCCATGTCCCCCTGCTGGAGAAGACTCCCTGCTGACACCACCGTCAGCACCTACTACCAAGTCCTAACCCCAGCACCACCCTTGCCTTGCAGGTCTCAGCCACAAAGGGCACCCTGGCCTCCAGGCAGAGTGCTCTGTGAGCTCGGAAAGTACTCCCCAAGCCCAGGGCCACCTTGCCAGGAGCAGCCAGCTAGCTGGCTTACTGCTTCATGCCGAGAGTGTGGACCAGGAGGACCTGCCCCCAAGCCAGACATCACCCGAACCTCCGAGCAGCCCGCCCATCCAGCAGGACCCTGGGAGAAGTGACAGCAGCTCCCCCTCTTCTCCCAGGGATGTCCAGGTTCATGTGGCCCAGAAATGCGCTAGCCCCAGCAAGCAGCGAGCCCCTAGAGCCAAGACCTCCATGCCCCCAAATCACCAAGCCAAAGAGCCCCAGCACACAGTGCCCCTGCGGGCACCCCTGGCTGGGCTGGCAGGCAGCCCTGCAAAGCAGGGGCGCCGGTACCCGTGTGGGGAGTGTGGTAAGGCATTCCTGCAGCGGTGCCACCTGAAGAAGCACGCCTTCGTGCACACGGGCCACAAGCCCTTCCTGTGCACAGAGTGTGGCAAGAGCTACAGCTCCGAGGAGAGCTTCAAAGCCCACACGTTGGGCCACCGCGGGCTGCGGCCCTTCCCCTGCGCCCAGTGCGACAAGGCCTACGGCACCCGGCGCGACCTCAGGGAGCACCAGGTGGTACACTCGGGTGCCCGGCCCTTTGCCTGTGACCAGTGTGGCAAGGCCTTTGCCCGCCGGCCCTCCCTGCGGCTGCACCGCAAGACCCACCAGCTGTCCTCAGCCCCTGCGCCGTGCCCGTGCCCAGTGTGTGGGCGGCGCCTGGCCAGCCCCGGCTCCCTGCGGAACCACATGCGGCTGCACACTGGGGAGAAGCCCTTCTTGTGCCCACACTGCGGCCGGGCATTCCGCCAGCGGGGCAACCTGCGTGGGCACCTGCGTCTGCACACAGGGGAGCGCCCGTACTGCTGCCCGCACTGTGCCGAAGCCTTCCCCCAGCTGCCCGAGCTGCGGCGCCACCTCATCTCGCACACCGGTGAGGCCCACCTGTGCCCCGTGTGCGGGAAGGCCCTCCGAGACCCCCACACGCTGCGGGCGCACGAGCGCCTCCACTCAGGCGAGAGGCCCTTCGTGTGCCCCCAGTGTGGCCGGACCTACCCCCTGGCCACCAAGCTGCGGCGCCACCTCAAGTCCCACCTGGCAGACAAGCCCTACCGCTGCCCCACCTGTGGCATGGGCTACACCCTCCCGCAGAGCCTCAAGCGGCATCAGCTCAGCCACCAGCCTGCCGTACCCGCTGCCCCCGCCGAAGCCACTGTGGTGCTGCTGCAGGCCGGGCCTGAGCTGCTGGACCCGGACCCCCAGCAGGCAGCCTCCCCGGCCCGAGACCTCATGGAAGTCACCGTTTCTGAGAGCCCGGGCAAGGGCTGTGTGGCGCTGGGGGAGCCGGGCCCCACCCACAGCCTGGTGCTCCTCCCCAAGGACGCGGGCTTTAGTGCCTGGGCGGCGGAAGTGGTGGCGCTGCACACGGGCACCTGAGCCCCGGAGCCCCACAGGGTGCCTCATAAAGACAGTTGGCTTCCCAGCACCTGAGCCTGTGCGTCTTTTTCCTGCGAGGCTTCCTGCCCAGGACCAGAGGCTCCCGGGGAAGCAGCTCAAGGCTTTGCCTCCCAAGACCCTGGCCGGCACAAACGGTTGGTGTTCAGCCACAAGCCCAAAGCTTGACAGTTCAACCTGCCCCCCTCTTTCTGAGAAGAAAGGCCCGGTGATCTTTTTCCTGAAAGTCACAGCTTCAAAACCCCTTGGGCTCGGTCTGCTCAGCACAGTGAGCCACAACCAACCCGACAGCAACTGGCTGATCGGTGGGAATCTCAAAGCCAACACCACCACCGTCCGTTCCTGCTCGCAGCAACCTTGGAGGACCCTATAGGTCAGGGAGAACCGACACTGTAACTTTACGGGAGGAGAAAGCCTGTCTTTCTTAACCCCAGAGCGGTTGGTGGGCTCAAACCTCTGGCCTTGCAGTTAACAGCCGTGTGTAGCCCGTTAGGTCACCAGGGTTCCCTTGTTCACAGGTGGAGGGCCGCCAGATTGCCACCGAGGCTATACGGGGGGTAAGACTGGTTTGGAATGAAAAATCTTTCCAGACTTCCAGCAGCACCGCCCCTTCCCAAGGGACTAGACAGTGACACCCACCCTGCCTCCCAGGGAGCAAGTCCTTCGGGAGACCAGCTGCAGAGTTCCACATGGCACTATGGGTTAGGCCTTGGGCTGAAAACCACAAGCTTGCTGGTTCAAACCCACCAGCCACTCCACGGGAGGAAGATGAGGCTGTCCACCCCTGTAGACACTTGAGGGTTAAAAGGCTGGTGCCTGAGCTGAGTCTTAGCTGTCAGAGAGGTGGCTCGTCACACACTCTGATTCAGGCGTTGGGCTATTTTGGTAGCTTTTCTCACCACTACAGTCTGTGGGAGTTGGTCACAGCTAGGTGCTGAGGACTCTGGGATGGGGCCAGAGTGTGGGGTCTACACATTTGTTCAGCTCTGGGCTGTGGGCCCAGGCGGCGGCAGGTTGGGGGGGCAAGGCCAGGACCAGATGACAGGTGGTGTCCTTTGCAGCACTCCGGATACGTGGGCGGAAGGCACCAGTCAAGTTCCAAGAGGAGCGCTCTGGGGCTGCTGGGCATCGGGGAAGGAGTCCCTGAGGAGTTAGGACAGTTCACATAGGCAGAACGGGGGCCAGGCCTCCACTTGACGTGGGTTTGAACGCCGTGTTTTACAGATGAGAAACCAAAGTTACAGCTGCTGCTAGGTGTCAGGCTGAGGCCCTGACCCACACAGGCCAGCACTGGCAGAAGGCCTTCTGTTTGTTTCAGCGTGAACGGGTGCAGGGGCGGAGTGCGGGGGACGATGTTTACTGAAGGAATTGGCAGTTTTACATTCAGCAACCCATACGCTTCCTGTTTCACCTCGTTGAAAGCAATCCCCTCAGTGACCCGCCTCCTTCCCACATTTCGGCTTCCATTTCTCCTTTCCTTGCCTTTCTGAATGTTGCCCTGCTGAGAGACGGTTGACTGTGTGAAGGTGTGCCTCCCTCACTAGTGTTGGGGATCCCCAGGCACACTTGTCTATTTGGGTGAACATGGGGTTGCGGGCGTGAGTTCTGTTCCCTTCCTGCACGGTGACAAGGGAGGGCCCAGGGACAGTGCTGAGGGACCAGTCCCTCAGGTCTGGCAAGAGGAGGTGGTCCTCGGCTAAGGAGACCCCAAACCAGCATCCAGTATGGTAGGAGAACCTGCAAGGCTTGGTTTACAGAAGCTGGTGGGAGTCCCCAAAACCCTTGCTGCGGAGCCCCCAAAACAACCCACTGCCACCACGTCAGTGCCAACCCACAGCAACCCTGCGGGGCAGGGCAGGGCTGCCCCTCCGGCTTGCTGAGGTAGTAAATCTGTGCAGACATCCTCCTCTTTCTCCCACAGAGTGGCTCGTGAGCTTGAACTCAGCCTTGACCGCAGTCTGGTGACCATCCCAGGTCGCCGCCACCTCCAGGGCTCCTGTTGCTGTGAAACTCGCTCTTTCTTCCTTCGACCCTATCGGATGGGATAGAACTGCTTCTGTGCGTTTCTGAGGCTGGAACTGTTATGGGAGTGGAAAGCCCCCCCTCTGCCTCCCCAAGGAGTGGCTGGTAGTTTCGAACTGCCCAACGCAGAGCCACTACGCCAGGAGGGGCTGTTGAAGGGAATTTGGGAAGGCACTGACGATGCCTTGGGGCAGCAGGAAACCTGGCCGCACTGCTCTGAGGAGGAGTGGTGGCAGAGACAGGAAGAACGTCCCTCGTTGGCAATGCAAACTGGGCCTCTGGAAGTTGGTGAGGGTCCAGAGGGTAAGCAGGGTGCTAGGACCACTCCACCGACACATGCAAATCTGGCACACATTCCCCCGGCTGCCCCTCCATGCTTAACCACAATGCCATATGCCATCCTGCCCCCAATGTGCCATTGACATTAACCCAGCAGCCCACCCAATCTGAAGGACTTGTTGATAATGCGTCTTTCTGGGACTGCGTCCCAGGGAGAAGACCAGGTAGTGGTGACACTCTGGGGAGAAGTGGATGGCTTTCAGCCAGCCCGCCAGGAGCTCCTGCTCCCCCACCTCCCACTCCAGCTGGGGGAATGGCACCCTGGGGACCTGCATCACTGCATACGGAATGGGACTTCGCTCCTCCTCGGCCCCGCAGTAGAAGGGGTGCCCATGTGCTGTGTTTCAACCTCCAGGCTGACCTTTTGGGAAAGGTCTCCACTTCTCAGGAACCCTGCCCCTCCCTCCCCGCCCTGCCACCACCCCACTGCCAGTATCAGGCAAAATTTTTTAATGTTTAAATAAATTAGCGATGTGTGATCGATTCGCTATTTCACTCCCCTGAAAACTAAGCACATCAAGAAGGAGAAAGTTCAATGTCAGTTGTCAACAGGGAACGCAAGGGCCGTGGTCTCCCATGGGAAGGGGAGGCTGGGAACCCAACACTTACAGTGTGGTGCTGGAGATCATGCTCTTGAGATGCCACTGGAAGTTCAAGACCACCCTGAGCACCTTTTCCTAAGAAACCACCTTTACCTGCCACACATCTGCCGTGCCAGCTAATCTCCCCATACATAGCCGTGTTCCCAGCATCCCATGTCAGCCCACAGGGCAGCCTGGCCTGCCACCAACCCCCTGCCCCTACTGCAAACTTCTGGGCCTCGCCTCATCCCACCCCCCAGAGCCCTCTGCTTTCACCACCTCCACCATCCACAGCCCTCATAGCCTCCGGGATGCCACAGGGGGCACCCTGCACCCTGCAGAAACCCACAGGTAGTGAACAGATGACCAACCAGTGATGAAGATTTTACTAATGTTTGTGAGGGTGCAGGCTCTTTGGTCCTTGAAGGGAAAAACAAACGGATGACAAATGGAAGCTATAGTGAGACAGGCTTCTCCGTCCATCGAAATGGTTCATATTAGACAGACAGATGGCGTGGAGTGTTGGCCAGGATATGAAGCGAGGGGTCCGCTCAGACATCGTTGGCGGGAGAGTAGGCTAGTGTTAGAACCACTTAGGAAAACTCTCTGTCCTAGCTGCTTAAGCAAAGCATATACGTACCTACTTTATGCCCCAGCGAGTCCACTCCTGGGCATCTCGCCCAAGAGGCTTCCGTGCTTCTCCACAGGCATAGCTCGTCTCTGAGCTCCGTTCACTTTGTTCTGACCTGTGTGGTTACAAATGGGAGCTTCGTGGCAACTCTACCTGGAGCTAATCTCTCTCGGCACTGGTTTCCCAGCCCTTCACGGCTCTGTGTCACATGGTGGTCATTCTTTTTTTTTTTAATTGGTTGATTCTTTATTAATTATTTTATTGGTGGGCTCTTACAAATCTTTTTTAAAAACCTTTTAAATCATTTTATTGGGAGCTCGTGCAATTCTCATCACAATCCATATATACATCCATTGTGGCAAGCACATATGTACATTTGCTGCCATCATCATTCTCAAAACATGTGCCTTCTACTTGAGCCCTTAGTATCGGCTCCTCCTTTTCCCTCCTCCCTCCCCAGTCCCCTCTCCGTCATCCCTTCATAATTCATAAATTATTTTTTAAAAACTTTTAAATCATTTTATTGGGGGCTCGTACAACTCTTATTACCATCCATCCATCCATCCATCCATCCATCCATCCATCCATCCATTATGTCAAGCACATTTGTTGCCATCATCATTTTCAAAACATTTTCTTTCTGCTTGAGCCCTTGGTATCAGCTCCTCATTGTTATTTTTTTTAATTTTAATTTTTCACTTTTATTTTTTAAGAACAGTTCAAGCCTCTTCATAATGCTACCACACACCCCATAAGCTACCGTGAATGTCAATGCAATTTGTCTTTTTGGTAAATGTAATTTCCATATGGCTGGGAAACCAGAAAAAAGGCATGCTATTCACGTTATTGCCGAACTAGGTCTAGGCGGGGACCTGGAGCCACACCCACAATGTCTGTCTCCGAGGTTCGTCTGGGACCAAAGGCCGGCCAGGCAGTGGGCACAGCAACACTGCTCACCACGGGAAACGAGCCCCCGTGCAGCCCAGCAAATGGAGAAATAGACTGGGCCCAACAAGTGCCTCCTGCAGGGAAGGGAGCGCGCACCGCCGAACTCGGAAACACGCTGAGGGGCAAAGCTGGAGCAGCAGGCACGGGCTGTAGATCTCCCCTGCCTGAAGTTCAAGTCCAGGCACAGCTGCTCCCTGCTCAGAGTGGTTAGGATGGCCATCCTGCCGGAGGTTGACTGAGTAGTGAGAAGAGTCACCTACCAGAGTGGATTCATGGAGCGGCCCTAGAAAAGAGGATGCACCACAGGTGTTCACATCAAAGTGTGCTGCTCCCCTGTGGTGTGTGGACATGACTGCAACCTTTGCCGCCTTTTACCGTGGTTCCTTCTCCGTGTTAGTGCACCACTGTTGGAAAGGTAAGCTCAAACTTCTGTTGGCTGGCTTTTTTAATTTTTTAATCATTTTATCGGGAGCTCTTCCAGACAGCCTAACATTCCATAGTTCAATCACATCAAGCAGTATGGCACGATTGCTACCACAATCCGGTTCCAAACATTTTCTTTCTTCTTGAGCTCCTTGATATCAGCTCCCCTTTATTTCCTTCCTCGCCTCCCCCCGCCCCAGGAACTCTTATTTATTTATTGACTTTCCCTCTCATAGGTTTTGCCACGTTTTAAATATGCGAGCAGACCTCTTCCAGAAGTCCATTTTATTTCAGTTTTTCCATGAGCTTCCTGAACCCGCCCCCTGTGTGCGTGTATGTTATAGACATCATATATGCATTTGATTACTCTAGCGTTGAGCCCATTTCTGACTAGAATGGCCCATGGGACACAGAAGAATGGCTCCATAGGGCAGCAGTTTTCAACCTGTAGGTACCGACCCCTTTGGGGCTCAAACGACCCTGTCACAGGGGTCACCCGATTCATAACAGTAGCAAAATGGCAGTGATGAAGTAGCAACGAAAATAATGTTATGATTGAGGCTCACCACCACGTGAGGAGCTGTCTGAAAGGGTGGTGGCAGGAGGGAGGCTGAGAATACTGCCTTAGGTTTGCCAGGCCGCCATCCTTAGGGAGGAGACCTGGTGGCGTAGTGGGTAATAGGGTGGGCTGCTAGCTGAAAGGTCAGCAGTTCAAAACTACTAGATGCTCCTAGAGAGATACGTGAGACTTTCTGCTCCGTGGAAAAGCAGGGCCACTAGGTGGGTCCCAGGCATAACCTCTGCATTTACATCTGAGCACTTAACCACTGAGACACCACGGTTACTTTTGAATGAATACACATGTTGACCACGTTGGCCACTCAAGAACTTAGCTGATTTGTGGGAGGCCTAGTCTCGTCCCCTGGGCTCTGCCAACCCTGTTGGTTCCTGGGGTAGCCCCACGCCCCACCCCATGATCTCCCCTGATTTCGTGACCGCAGTCCAGACCCCAAACAGCCAGGCCTGAGGACAGGCCTAGGCAGAGGGCAGCAAGGCAGGCCCTGTGCTTCGCTGTGTTCCTGCTCTTTGTCCCTCTGTCCTAAGTAGACCCAGGACTAATATTTACCTTGCAGACTGCAAACAAGAAACGGGGGAGGGACAGGGAACAGGTGCAGCCTAGGGGCAATGCGGACCAGTAGCCACTGCAGCCTTGGGCCAGGTTCTCTGTCCAGCTGGGAGAGAGGGAGGGGCTGCACTGCAGGGCCCTGAGAGCTGGGCTGGCTCCTGGTCAGGGGTAGGCAGCGGGTCCTGGGAGATGAGAGAAAATAAACCCAAGGCCTCAGTGGCCCTCCTCCCAGGCAAACACACACACACACCACATACAAGAAGATAAACCCTTTTGAGAATGATGATGGCAACACGTGTGCATGTGTGCTTAACACGATGGATGGATGCATGGATTGTGGTAAGAATTGTACGAGCCCCCAATAAAATGATTTTAAAAAGAAGATAAACCCAAGGCCTCAGTGGCCCTCCTCCCAGGCAACACACACACACACACACACACATGCCCCCCCCTACATCTCTCCCAGGTAAGTAGCACAAACACACATTTCCCAGGTAATCACATACATACATCCCAGGTAACCAACACACACACACACACACACACACACACACACTGCCACAGCGACCTTGAGAGGAAGCAGGAATGGTATTCTCCATCAGCAGCGCAGAGACTGGTGCCCATGCTGGCTGTCCCTGCCTCAGGGCATTCTGGGATGAAGTGGACTCCTGTGGCTGCCCACACCCTTGTCTCTATTTTCGACATTTGCGTATTGTGATTTCCCATACACATGTCTACCAAGGATTACTCCCAACCGCGGTCTTGCGGTCTTGGCAGAGGAGAATCAGGCTCCATGGAATTGTCCAGGCTGGGCTCATTCCGAAGGTGATTTTCAGGGCTTTCTTCCTGGGAGCCACTGGCTTGGATTCAAACCACCAACTGAGGGGTAGGAGCCAGGCACATGTCATTTTCCCCACTTCAGGGCCTGTACACATACGATCTCCTCTGCTCTCCACGAGGAGCCCTGGCAGTTCGAACCCCCCCAGTAGCTTCTCTGGAGAAAGACGAGGCTGTGTGCCCCAGAAACTGAAGGGCCAGCTCTGCTCTGTCCTATGGGGTGGTTCTGTGCCAGAATTAATCTGTGGCAGTGAATTTGCTCACAAGAGGTTCTCAGAGGCCCAGGCATGAAAGCCAGCCCCACCCCGTGTGTCAGGATTGTAAGGCACCCCAGGAAGATCTTGGTCCAGGTTCGCCCCAGGCCCCAGAGAGGTGGGAGGTGGGGGAAGGGCTGCTACACTGACCTTTCCTGTGTGACTTCCTCCCAGACCACCCTTCATGGGGTCCAGGAGGACCTGTCCCACAGGATGGCGTGGGTGGCCAGCTGACAGCTATCTGCTTGTCCCCACAGCCCTGACCTGATGACCTCCCCCTCCGACCAGATTTCTTCATGCTGGTTCAACATTAACCCAGAGGGCTCAGGCAGAGCCCTCAGAGTCCCCGAGCTCAGGCCATGGCGCACATCCCCGGCCCGTGGCAGCCCGGCAGCTGGCTGATCCTGGCTGTCCTGATCAGCCTTGTGCACAGCCAGCATGGTAAGGGGCAACTTGGAAGGCTGGTCCAGAAGCCACGGTCTGGTCTGGGTCTCCCGGTGGGACAGAGAACACAGGCGGAGCCCAAGGGAGGGTCTCCCCCTAGGGTCTCCGGCTTGGGAAAGCAGCTGTGTCCTCTTCACTCCTGCAATGGGGGTGGGTAGATTAGGGGTGGCCAGTGGAAAGAGGGGAGCTGGTGGGTTCTGCCGCCACCCGGCACACCCCGGTGGGCAGAAGCCAGCATGGCAGACAGGGCGCACCGCCTGGCCCCGCTCAGGCCAACTCAACCAGCTCCCTGAGGCCCTGTCCGCGCCCTCCCACCGCAGTGTTCCTGGCCCCTCAGCAAGCTCTGTCGCTGCTGCAGCGGGTGCGGCGGGCCAACAGCGGCTTCCTGGAGGAGCTGCGCAAGGGGAACCTGGAGCGAGAGTGCATCGAGGAGCAGTGCAGCTATGAGGAGGCCTTTGAGGCCCTGGAGTCCAGGGACGACACGGTGAGGACGCCGGATGGGCGGGGGAGCTCACGCTGGGCCCTGTCGCTGAGTTAACTGACTTTCAGCCCTGAGCTCTGGTGCCCTGGGCTGGCAGGGAACCAAGACAGGCATCCTGGAGGTCCTTGCATCTGGGCTGTGTTGAGGCCCCCTGGGCTTCATCAGTCCCAGAGACTGTCACCCGGAGATCTCGGCGGTCCCTTGTCCGGGCCCAGGTGATGGTTTCCGCTTCGGCCTTTCTGAGCCCCGGTGGCATAGTGGGTAATGCTTGGGCTGCTAACCTCAAGGTCAGTAGTTCGAAACTGCCCCCTACTCCACGAGGGAAAGATGAGGCTTTCTACTCCATTAAAGACTTGCAGCCTCAGAAGCTCACAGGGGCAGTTCTAACGGTCCAATAGGGTTAGTATTGGTTGGAACCGACTCGTGATGGCTGTGAGTTTTTGAGGACTGGTGAGGCCTAGCAGCCCTCCCAGCCTTGAGGGGCTGCCAGGGCCCAGAGCAAGGACACAGGCCCCGCTCTCTCTCACCTACCCCGGCCCCGGGGCCCTTCTTCCATCATGTGAGGGGTGGGCATTTACTCTCCCTGAACACCCTACTCTTTAATGGGCTCGGGCTTTTGGAAACGAAAGTTAGAAAGCTCCCGGGGCCCAGTTTTGTGTGACTGAGGGTGGGGCGGGCAGGTGGGCAGGCAGGAGACTAGTAGGAGAAGGTGTCAGGTTTACTGGAGCGCAGAAAGGAAGGAGAGGCCCCGGCTCAGCCTCATTGCAGCCCTTGTTTTTCAGGATGCGTTCTGGGTCAAGTACACAGGTGAGCACCGAGAGTGGGTGGTCCTGGACGGGAGGCCTGGAGACTCCAGTTGGAGAAAGTTCAGCCTCACAGAAACATCTGGTTTACCAGTCTGTTCATCTGTCCACTACCCATCCATCCATCCATCCATCCATCCATCCATCCATCCATCCATCCACCCACCCTTCCAACCATCCATCCACCCATCCATCCATCCATCCATC